AAATGCAATCTAGTACACAAGCTGTACTATACTATTATACTATGTCTTCTTAATTTGTTTATCCAGAAAGAGAAGGTGTTTTCCTATGAGAAAGTTTTATGAATGCCATAGATATGAGAGCTATTTTTATTTTTGCATATAAATGCCCATCAAAATCAATTGATTCTATCCTCCTGCTATTCACTGATTAGCATGTAGCAATATAGATAGGTAGACAGTTAAATAGAATATTATTTTGATATACAAGTAATTTCATAATGAAAAATTGAGTTGTACTACTATAAAAACAGTGTGAGATCAGAATCGACCCCATAGGGACCCCTTACATAATTAAAGTGATTTTGCCAGTGGAAGTTTGGGTTGTATAAGGAATGCAGAATTAATCCATCTGTATCTGTGTAAGCTGTCATTTACACAGAAGTTTGAGGCTTATTAAATCACTAACTTTGGAATTGTACAAGATGACTGACTAGTATTCAAGTATATAAACAATCACATGCCTCTGAGGAATGTTAATAAATAAATATTATAAAATAGGTCTGTGTTGAAAATATTTCATTTCTTTAAAAAAAGCATACAGGAGTTAAAACATTTAAAACTTCCATTAGATTTGCAAGAACAGCAAAACAGCAAAACAGTACACAGTACCTTTGCTTCATATGCCTAGAGACTCTTGTCCTTTCCATGCTCTTCTCTAGATTTAGCAAAATGATGGGCTAAATCGTTTTTTTTAAACTTTCAAGGGAAAAATACTGGCAAAGTGGCGTTTCTGTGAAAAGCTATATACATAAATGAGAAACAGTAGATAGCTGCAGAGTGATCTCCTGTGGCCCTGCTAGTACAAGCCTTCCCCATATTGTCTCCTGCTTTTATATTAATTACAACTTGCATTATCAGCTGTGATTCTTAGCCCAGCAAATAGAAAATACTGCCCCTGGAGACCTAGCTTCTTGTATCTATTTTCCATCTCCTTCTATTGTCTGCCACTCAGTATTACTGCTTTGCTCCTGGTAACACTGCTCTTTAACACAATTAGATAAGAGCAAGAGCAGTGCCATATTTGACTCCCAATTATTAAAACTATTGGGAATAGATACATGTGAACTCTGCATTCCATAGTACATGGCACTTCAGCTGGTGATTCAATTCAACATATTCATACTTTTTTACTGCTTAAATATGTGTCATAATGTTATGTACAAAGTTAAATAAATAGTTGCTGTGAAAGGTTATAATTGTCTTAATTCAATTCTTATGCTACCCATTTTTAAGCTATTGGTTGGTATAACAATTTAAAAAATATGAATGATGATCACAGTACCCCCCTCTCCTTAACATCTGCATTGCTACTAAACATTGGCTTCAGGTTAAATACGTCATTTCCAAAAGATAGTTAGAAAATGTGAGTTTACTTTTTGAGTAGTTTTTCATACGCTAAGTTGCTTTCTGAATGTTTCAGCATATTTCCATACTGAAGTTATATCTTCATAAGTGTGAAAGGTTAGCTTTTCTGGTTATAAGCTTATGTTCTTTTCAGCTCAGTGTGTATATATTGTTTGAAATGATGTATATGGTATGTGTTATTATCACATTTAAATTTAGACAGATTTTTTTATACGCTATTGAAATATAAATTCCTCAGGGCTCTAGTGGTTATATAAGAAAAGTTGATTCCAGTTGAATTCAGCATATAGATTATCAACATATCATTGATATGTTTGAATCATTATCAAAAAGTGGATTCACTAGAAAATTGGGTAGTCAAATGCCATATACAATGTGATGCATTTCTGTTCATACAAAGGGTCAATTTCTTAGTATCTTCTCTTTCAATTTTCCAGTTATTCTTCTCTCCTAAAATTTGCCCCAAAGTACACACTCTCAAATAAATCAGAGCAAAATGCCATGGTAGCATATGATCTTTTAGATGAAAGAAGTTAAATCTTTTGGCAGGATACTATTGGCCTACTATGTTAAAATTAGAAAGTTTAATTTTTTGTGCCTCTTAATCTAATGAAATAAATAAATAATCTGGAACCAAATTTACTTATATTAAATAATTCTATGGAAATATATATCCAGAATGAAAGATTTCATTGTTGCCATGACATGGATGAAACTGATTATTTGGTCATGAGTAATACTCTCAAATTATGGATATGATGCCATGTTTGTTACAGTACTAATATTAAATGACTGAGTATACTTGTTGGCCAAACCTAATGTCAGACAGAGTTATGGAGCAGTTGGGAAGTTGAAGGTGAAACACAAATATTCCATATATTCTTCCCAATTTCCTCTACTTTTCTGGGAAGAAAAAAAGACAGTTATAGCCCCCCCGCAATGGCTTTCAATGTATGTAGCCATTGTACCATCACCCCTTCTAATTGAGATTGGACCTCTGAATCAATCAAGGTATAAAAAACAAATTATTTCTACTGCAAGAATTTTTCTCAATGTCCTTGTATAAACCAGAGACATCTGGTTTTTCAAACACTGTATGGTTTTGGTTAACATGTGCCTTAAAACTTAACCAAAATGTTAACTTGCATAAATTACTAAAATATTAATAGTGAGCTAAGGACTTTCAACAGAAGCTACTTTTAAGAAAAACTGAAGAAGATAACATTAACATTATAGTATCTGAAATATGTGTTCTGGGAAAATATTGTTTTATAAATTTTATAAAGAGCAGCTTTCAACATGATATTGGAGGACTAAATGCATGCCAGGCTATTGTTTTGTTACCTTTTTCATGTATTTCTTTTAACTCTTTATCTGATTACCATCCGGCAAACAGCTGACGCTGAGAGAGGCTGCAGAGGGCTAAAGTGCTCCTGTCTGCTGTTTGCCTTCAGCTTGAAGCTATTTGAGTGGTTTCCTAACTTAGAGATAAAAAGAGGAGCTCGTAGGCTCGATCTGTTTAATCGAGACTGCACAGAAACTTGCTTGATTGTGACATTTTATTTCCATATATAAGTTTTCTTGAAATCCAATCATCATTGCTTTTTTGAAGTAGTTTTTTATATGTGTATACACATGTGTATGCATCTCTGTGTGTCTCCATATAGACACACATAATAGATATAAAACTGATACATTTCAGATTCTTTTAACATTTTCTTTTATTTTAAACTTTCCTGAGTTTGCAATATGGTATTGTTTTTATATATTGTGGGAGGAAAATATTAATTTGAAAAGTATTAATTTTAATTATAGCATATTGTTATTTTTCAGTGTGACTTTCTGTAAAGTGGAAATTGATTTATGCAAAAATGTGTAGATTGATGAAAAAAATTTAATGCAGTATTTCAATTTTGATTTATTTTTGTAGATTGTTCTACTGATCTAACTAAGTAAGAGAGTTGTGTAGTTATTATTAACTTTGTTTCCATTTATCTGTCTTTCACTGCTTAGGCATTTATGCCCATTCAATTTAGTGTTGGAATGTGATTATCCAGGCTGACTTGATATTTTTATAAGACATTATTTAGAACATGGTTTAAAAATGATATCTTGAGCTTCAGTTGCTAACCTGGTAATTAAGTAATTAAGCATTTAGTTTAAAATGCAATAATTTGGGGGGAGTCATTAAAAAGCTTTAATTATTGGGGCGATTTGCCATCTCCATTTTTGAACAGATTGGTATTTTTCTAAATTTGTAGATATAGTTTTTGATGCTGCTGCTGCTGAAGTTTACTACAAAGTAAATTTTGTTGCTTTTCTCTGTGCAGTTGCTTAGGGTTCATGATATTTCCCTGAATGTAAAATATTTTACAAAAGTGTTTCTTGTTAGGATGTGTTTAATTTAAGCTGTCATGGAGAGGTGACAAGCAATGGAAGTTCAGCTCTAAGTCTGATCTATTGCATGTGTTCTTGTTCTCTCCTTTTCTGCTGGAGGAAATTCCATCCCTTGCCTGCCTTCATGTGGTGCTGATAAAGCTTTTCCTGTACAGTAGAATTCCTGTTTTCCTTTAAGCAGCAGCAGGGTATTGGGAATGATCAGGAAAAGGGAGGAGGACCAGGAGGAGAATATGCTTAGTAAAGTAGCAGTTAACTGCAACTTTCAACTTTCTTCATGTATCTTTTAAAGTAGCAGTTCTTTTCAGGAAAACTGATGATCAATATTTTTTTTTTTAATGGGAATTATATTACTAGACTACTGTAGAATTAAGGAAGCTTTGCCAAATCTTCAATGATTATTAGTTCATGTATTGCCATTTTATATCAGATAGAAAGATAGAATATATTGCAAATGACTATTTAAACTTACATATCTAGTTAACCTTTAGCTGTATAATCTTTTAAAAACATCATCGTCCTTGTTAGGTATATTTTGTTTTGTTTTTATTTCTAATAGATGTTATAATAGAGAAAAAACAAGTTTTTTGTGTTATAATTATTAATTTCCCACACCATATTAGAAAAAAAGAATCCTCTGCTGCAGATTTGGTGGGGAAAACTGAAATAGAGAGATGGTAGTTCAGCTGTGTTTTTGTGTCTCTAGTGATATTTCATTATTATCACAACTAGACAGAAATCATATATTGATTTACTGGGGAATAATTGATATTGAATTTAATATGCCTTTATAGGCTAATCTATGGAATTATGTAAATATAAAATGTTATAGTATTTCCTTAACTGACCAACTGATTGTTACAAGTATAAAAAGTATACATTAAAATATTATTAGTACTGAACTTTATCATGGTGTAAATATATGAAAATGAACATGATTTAAATATAGTTAGTAAGTCACAATATATTTCTGTCCCTATTGAATCAAAAACAAATCTCATATCTTCAGGAGAACACATCCCAAGGTAAAAGGGTATAGGATTGCAACCTCAGTAACCATTTGCCTCTGAACAGTGTCTGAATTTTAGGAATATTTGCAAATGCTAACCTGCCTACTTTTTTTCTGGCTTCCCAACCTCCCTTCCTCGATTTGCTATTGGAATGATAACTGTGGGAAAAAATGGACATTCTGACACCAGAATCCTTCCTCTTGGAGAGATCATGATGATGCAACGTCAACACACTCAGCAGGCACACCAGGGCCTTCCAGTGGGGGCCATGCTTCCCAGAGTGGAGACAACAGCAGTGAGCAAGGTAAAAGGTCAAGCTTTTTTTTTCCCTGTGCAAAGTAGGCATGACTAAAATAACTTCAGTGTCTTTTATTATATCAGTACATCTGCCTTAGTGTAAACACATGAATGGCAGGCTTGCAATGTAATCAGCTATAACTTAGGGAGACACTTGTTTCCTTTTTTTCAACCTTCTTAGCAATTTTATTTTTATTTCAAAGCCAAATATCTAATCTCCAAACAAGCTTTGCAATAACAATTGATTAGTTCTGCCAATTCCTTTACAAATTTGGTTATCTACAGGATTTTCTCTCTCTGTGTGTGTGCGTGTGTTCGTGTGTGCATGTGTGCATGTGTGGTGTAAGTAAATATCATGGAAGAAATGCATCCCCACTGTGGTGCAGCAATTCAGGTTAGTCTCTAAATAGAAAAATAATACAGTCAACTGAAAAAAGGTTTTGCAAGCCAGTTGAAACCTTCTTAACTCAGTACAGGAAGAAAACAAAAACAAATTTGACTCATCCACACAAAAGATATGTGCATTTATTGAATGGTTTGAAACTAACAGTAGATTTTATACTAAAGTATTTTATTAAAATTAAGAATTCCTTTTGTAATGAGTTGCTTGTGGATTACCACATAATATTTCTACCTACCCTGATTTAATTGGAAATAAGTTAAGTTTGTATTAGTTATATAAATGTCTAATAAATTAGTTATCTCAGATAACATTTTTAGGATTGTGATATAAGACATTGGCATTGTGCCTATCATAATTATAGTCCTATTTCTAACATGGTTAACATGAACATTTTATACACTTAATGGGACAATGATGTTCATAGTTGTTCACAAAGTCACATTGAATTAAATGGGATTTACTTGCTGTTAAATTGGGATTGGAATCCAATGTAACACTTTGACTTAATACTTCCAGTTTTCATAATCAAGGTTTTTAAAAATCATATTTAATTATTGAACTAAACAGAAAAAAATCCTTCAAGTTTATCTTTTTGCGAAAATTAAACTGGATATTTGTTAACATTCAGTGTTAATGATCTAGTTTTTTTTTCAAAACTGTCCTACATCTTTACAATATTGTTAACTTCGATTTAAGAAAATATATTATTGATGCCAATTATCTATATAGAAACCAAAAGTTTAGAGAAGATGTATTTGCCTTCATATGAGCAAAAATAGATTTGCTTTGTATAATTTGTCCAATAGATTTAGATTTTATATTTTGGATGTTTTTTAAAAGCTTACTCATACCAATTGCAATAAATTATTTCTATATATATGGTTATGTATATTTAAAAACAAATGAGTGTTGTGAATGTGCATAATACCTGAATGAACTCTATGATGAACTCACTAAATTAGATTAACCTTCATCTATTTACCTTCATCAGGAGTAAATTTTCATGTCCTAAAGCAACAAATACTCTGTGCTTGTTTATCTCTGTTCCAGAAATCAGGACTATCCTAAGTAATATTTGCCCTATATTTTTTCACTTCTATTTCCAAGACTAGAGGCAGTTGTGGGAAAGCTTAGATTAAGGTATGCAGCCACATATTACAAGGTGTGATTTGGGTCTGAGCCATGATGTGGCACAGTAGGTATTTAAATCTTGCCTCAAGGAATGGCCTTGGTTCAAATCACATGCAGACACAAGCTGCTTTGAACCATTCAGGAAAAATATCTTCCTAGTGACTTGGAGAAATAATCTGGATTGGAATGATGGAACTAGGAATTATATCTCTGCGTAAAAGGTGTCATACCAATTGGTTGTATGCCTGCTTTTTGTAATAAAACCAGTCATCTGTTGAATAGGCCCATTTTCTTTAAAAATAGTTTTTAAAAGGCTACTTTGAACAAGTGTTGTTAGTTTTAAAATTTTCCATTGACTTCAGTCAGATGCAGTAATGACTCAACAGTGTTTATATTATGTTCAGAAGGAAATATTTTTCATCTAAAGTGTGCTTTTCCCACCCTAGACAATTATCTTGTTACTTAATTTAATACAGCAAGAATGTGGGAATCTAAGCTTTTTTAAATTTTATGTTTAAATCTTCAAACCCTATTTTGCTTATCCTTAAGACTTGGCCAACTCCAATTCCATTGACTATACTGGGAATTAGTTGTTTAAAGGAATTTGCTATAGGATTCTAAAGGTAAAAACCTCCTCAAACTGAACATGGCTATGGTGATTTCATATACATACCCATGGAAATTTCTTGGCAACCAAAGCATTAATAATTTTTTGGGGGGATGAATTATATAAAATGGTTAGTGCTACATTACAATTCATGGATATCAGAGTTTCTATCTTTCTCTGTCAGCCTTTCTCATCATACTTTAGTCTTGTTGACTTCTAATATACTATTATTTGTTCTATACACATTCTGTGTTTATTTGTAGGCGTCACACTATCTTTTGCTTTCCCAGCTTTTATAGTTTGATAAAGCAAATATTACTGTATGTTATAAGCCTTAATGCATATCTCATTGCGTATATTTTAATCATGAGAAGATGAACAACACTGGAATAGAAATGTAGAATCTTCTAGATTTATGTTCCAGATACACATATGGTATTTGATAACTTGGGAGAACTTAAAGTTTATTGCCAAGATCATTATTTATAAATGAAAAAAATACAAAGAATATTTATATTTTATAAAAAAGCTACAGTGCACCCTTATAAAATGAAAAAGTGTGAAATGAAAAGTATTAATGGAGTGAATTTAAGTGCTGGTACTGGAAGAGTTAAAGCCTTTGAGCACTATTCAATGAAAGATAATCCTAATTATATTAGCTGGCTTCTTTAAGGGTTTTTTTTAAGCAAGTCATCTTAGTTTTTCAAGTAAACTATTCTATACATTGTAATAGTATAATGTCTGCATTAGTATTAGTACCACTTATTGCCTGACCATGGTTCAGATCATAGAAGCAAAATTGTTTCAGACAATATTATTTTATCTAAGTTCAAAGTTAAATATACTTGGGTTTCTTTTCTTGTATGCATTTATTAACTTGCTTATTTAAAGACTAGAAAGATTAATTAAATTATATTAATAGAAATAAAACACTGAAACATTTTACAAAGGAAGAAAACTAGGTGGGGGCAAGGGAGGAAAGAAACTGTTTTAATGGTATAATGAGGCCATCTTCCAGAGACTTGTTTTGTGTAAGTCTTGCTTTGACCTTTCACTTTGCTCAGGAGCCCAACGCTTCATTTTTCACATTCTTCCAATTACGTTAACGCTTCAAGCATTTCTGACTCCTAGTCAGCTAGCAACACCAGGCATAACTCAACACAGTGAGTTTTTCCTCCTCTCTGTAGATTCATTAACAGGTCACTGAGGTCCCAACTGAAATTTAAAACTGGCTGGTTCTGTTGGGTTAGTTGAGTTATGGAAGAGAAATAGCAGAAAAAGACTGTGAGAAAGGGAGGAGAGAAGGAAGACTCAAGATTTTGTTAGGCATTACTGTATATGTATAAAACCCAAATCAATCTTTCAAAAGGTATGTGAGCTTTATCATCCAACTACTTGTTTGGTAGAGAATCTGTATGTCTTATGGGTAATAGATTATCCTTTTTCTATATAAAACAAAGTAAAATGTCATTTGCAAAATCAAAATAAGATATTCTGTGTGTACTGTAGTGATGGTTATGATTTTCCTTAGATTTTTCTGTCCTTTATTAGGTACTTCAGATGTGAGCAAGTAAGAGTTATGTATGAAAATATAAAATCAGTCTGATTATACCTTTAAAACTGTGTGGACTTTCCATGTGGAAAGTCATTAAATAATACTTGCTATATGCTTGATCTAAAGATATAATAAGTACTCAATCTTCTAGTAGTTTTGTGCTCAGAAGGCCTCTCAAGATTTAGTAGGTTTTAAAAATACTTAAGAGCTATTCTCCTAGACCATCTATTCTGCTTGCTGAAGCTGACATGGCTTTATTATGTTTAAAACAAGAAATACAGTAATTGGAAAGCAACATTTTTCTCCTGATTCAGTAAGGGGAAAGCCACATGTGGAAAAAAACATTGGTATTCACAATCAGTATGATAACAAATGTGCATCTGGCTGTGTACTTGCACCACAATGTCCATTATTATCATAGATAGGATGAAATTTGAGGTACAGATCAGTCCTTTAAATTCCCATTTATTTTGTTCCAACCAATGAGGCTGAAGTTCCCTTAGGTAATGCTGAAAAAATTCTAATTGCCAAATCTGAGCTGAATAGAAATATAAAATGGAATTAGTCATATGAACACAATTATTGCAAGCTGAAGCAATTTAGTTTACTGATCCATTATGTAGCTACCTCATTCAGTAGTTCACATTGTGAATTTTTCTTGTATGTAGATTTTTTAAAATTGTTTTATTCCTTTTTATTTCCCCATCTAGTAATATAGGACAAGTATGAATAAAATATTTTAATAAATGAATTCATATTATTGCTGCTGACTATTATATATGTCAAAGGACAGAGTTTTTTCATGTACAATGTTTATCTTAAGTGGCTAAATGTGGTGTTTTAGCCTAACTTTTTTTCAGGGAAGAAGTAGCTTTTCCAAATTTGAAGTGTTTGGTTATTTTCTAAAGTTGGAGCTAGGAAATGTTTTCTCCTGCTAATATTGCTTCTGATAAAATTATTCTAATTTTAATTCGAGAGAAATTTCTTTGGATTTGAAAAAGTTCTTGGCATATATGCCATCAAATCAGGATAGAGGAATGTTCTTAAGAGTGTAAAACTAACAGAACAATTGTGTAGATGTTAAAAGCAGCATATGACTGAAAATTCAACCCAAATATGAGATTATATAAAGGTAAAGGTTTCCCCTGTCCAGTTATGTCTGACTATAGGATGTAGTGTTCATCTCTGTTTCTTGGCTGAGGGAGCCAGTGTTCTTTTCCATGCTCATGTGGCCAGCATAATTATATGCCGATGTGCACAGAATAATACTACCTTCTCACCAAGTTGGTACCTATTTATCTACTTTGCATG